TCACGTTAAAACGACTAAATATCATTCTTTGTAGTTATCTACGTTTCTGTTTAGTATAGGTAAGCTTCACGGATTACATACAATTGCCGTAACTTTAAAGATTTACTACTGCTGTGTACGATTTACATGCATTATTATATACACCATTGTACTAAGGTATATTATGATACAATCAAATTTATCCATGAAAAAATGTACCCGTGTTTGAAATCTTCAAAAATACCTAAAAGTGTTGAACGTATATGCTAGACGATTTATTAAAAAAAAAAAAAAATGCGCATATTTGAATTATTGTAAAAATATATCCCACTACTGTAAAAACTTAACTGTCTAAAAGGTAGTCCCCAACTCCGTTATGAAATACTTGTTTACGAATTTATTTTATTATAATTTATGAGACTGAAAATATACATAATATTTAGCATTGTGATTTACTTATGCCAACAACACTTGTGTACATAATAATATATTATCATATTTGAAGTTGCTCTGACACAAAAGTTAAAGTTATACAGTGACCGTTTTTTTCCAAGCGATTAGTTTTCAAGTTTCCCCCCGCCCCTAAAAAGAGGTGCGCTTCGATGTCATCATTTATATGAATCCGTTTCAACGAACTGATGTCCACAATTATTATCTTGATAATTATTTGAGTTGCAAATAGCAAAACTATAATAATATACATAAGGGCATTTTTTTAAATATTACAAAAGAAAGACCCACACACATCCGTAGAAAATGCTAAATTATTATTATTGTTAATATTCTAAGTAATGCGATTAACTCGTTGTTAATTGCGTTAAGACAAATTAAGCGTTCTAGCAAGTAAAAGATTCGTAAAGTTTTTGAAACAACAAACATAAAGCCCACAGAGGTGTACTTGAACTGTCTGTCCGTCAAAATGCAATTCATATTGTAATAACTTTGTCAAATTAAACAAAACACAAAGAAAATGTAGCTTTTGACCTATATACGTCGGTTACGCGGTCAAAGCGAAATGCCTTTAAAACTCTAACACAAACAAAGGTTTTTTAAAATATATATATAGATATATATTATTCCATTTTAATTTTGTGTTTCTTAACGCCCGTAGTGGCTTTTATCTTTAAAATATTTAAACACGCAGAATTCAACTTCCGCCTCGGCCCTTGGCGCATCCTATATTTCCAGTACCACCCCCACCCCCCTTAGACGGCTTTTTTTCCTTCACCCCAAAAAGGGTATTCGCGCATTTCAATAATTGAAACGTCTACTTGAATATTCACGACACAGATCGAGTGCAGCCGAGAAAGGCTCCAGATCATTTCCCGGCTCGGTTTTAATTGTTATAGCCGAAAACGACTAGAAAGGGAAAAAAACGGAGCCTCGACAAAGACTGCAGCCAGTCGATTTTACCCGTTTTGGAATTCTGGAAATAAAAAAATTAAAATTAAAAATACCACAAACCACGTGTCTTTTACAATGGGGCTGTAAAAGACAGCCCCTCTCCACCCCCACCCCGACACAAAATAAATACCGAAAATTGCACAATTAATTCGATGACTACGATACGAGTTTCTATAACCCGTTTCCGTGCTTAAGTAACAAATAATAATATATTAGAAAAAGCTTATCGTCAGCTGTGTGATAATATTTTACTTATGGTCCTTTGCGTTTTTACAAATTACATGACATTATTATTTATAGGCAAAAAACAACGGTAATCACCCTAATGGTATTTCGGATTAAGCACCTCCAATAGCAGAAAGAGTGTAATATTATGTAAAATAGGTACTAGAAAGTTGAGGCAAACACATTTAGGCCAAAATAATATAAACTATAACACGGTATTTCTAGAATTTTCTCTAGAATATTAAATAACAAATAGCTTTGCTTACCATTTTGAATGTTGTGAGTGTAAAAATAACAATAACGACATTACTAAATAATAATATTACCATGTATTGAGTCTACGACCTGTTAGGTCGGTTTCGACAACTCTTGCTCTACTAAAGACAAGAGTTGCCATCCTGAGGAAGTGGTTAGGTGCCTTCTGCGCCAGTCAGGTGACCATTTCTCTCTTCAGACGATTGCCCGCTCAGCTAGAGAAAGGGCTAGTGACTGAGATTCGAACCACGGCTAGTGCGTATAAACACTGCCGCAGTAACCATCTCGGCCACGACGCCAAGATTGCACCATATATATGCTAAATAATATCAGACAGTAAAGTCAGACCGTTACGTTGTTTGTTTGTTACGTTAGTTCTTGAATATTTCATAGGACTTGAAGTCACATTATCTACTAATTATTACTATAATAACAAATTATGAAATAAAGTATTTAATAAATTTAATGCCATTAAGGAGATAGTGAGGTATATTAATTAAAAGACAATTATTAAAATAGCAAATTCATTTAAACTTACATTTTTTAGAGTAAAATTAAAGTAAACACACTGCAAAAAATAATTTAACTAAGATTACATCATTATAAAGTTAATTATGTCATAGTGGTTTCAATTTTCGTATAATTATTCTTATCAAACTTAGATATACTTTATCACTTTTACGTTCATAATGTATATTAATACGTCATATATTTATATTAATATATTTACGTATGTAATATATTAATTGTAGTTTTTTTAGTTTCAGTAGGTTGTTTAAAAAATTATTTTAGGTTGTAAATATAATTGTAGGACATTATTACTCGTATCATAGACAACAATCAACAACCCCGATTAACAATCACGGATGACTGCCAAACTGTGATTTTTATATAATATAGATTATAATATAAACAAAATTGAAAGTAAGCAGTGCCCATAATCACTTATCTGATCTGCATCGGGTGACTATTAATTTTTTCTACTTAACAGGTTATTTATTACATATTATATATATTACAGTAGTACCTGTATATTATCATCACTGCAGTATGGAAAGACAATTTTTTGAGTAAAAGTGTGCTACGGATTTATCATTCATTATTGATTATGCATTCAAAAAGCTGCATAAAAGCGCAATAATGCAACATATTTAAAAAAAAAAACAGTTCACCGTCAACTACCAGAAACTGGTCAAGACAGCGGTTTGCCTTTTATTCAACAGCAAGCCCAAAAAAGTATTAATTTCACTTAAAGTTATTTTAAACACGTCAAATAAAATAATTAGTAACTTCAAGGAGAATTCGTACATTTGGAATACATGCATTATATTTCCTATTGTTTGAAGTTTTATTTCAAACATAATTTGTACTTATCTTAATATATTTGAATGATACCTGAAAATGTATGCTATATACTATGTACAAAAAAATGCTACTATATACTTTGCGATAACGTTTAATTAAATATTATGAACATAAAGGTCCTCGTTGACTTACACGCGGCATTTCAGTATAAGTATAAATAATTACTCGCATAACAATCGCGTTTTATAACAAACTATACTTTGGTACATAAGTTATAAGTGGTGGCAAAAAGTTTTCTGGATGCTCGATTTTACTAAAACTATATTAGAACTGATACTTTCCAAATACTTATACGCAAAAAACTTAGCCTACGTTAAAATTCACGGAGCAAATGAACCATTCAACCAGAAATTTGTCCCTGGCGAAGTATACAGTGTATTAATGGCGTAAATTGCCAAGTTTTTTCTCATCTATAACAATGTTTACCGTTCCAGAGAAGAGCGAAATTAATCAACTTATTCAACAGAATATTATATATTTTAGACGAAATATCACAAATGAAACATTTACCGGCAACCTACTTGTCAATATATAATTAGTCGTTTAGGTATATGAACCCTAATCACAATGTTGTGTGTACTCGATGCTTTCCTAGAAACCACTACCAAAGTCACAAAGTTTGAACTGTCAACAGCCATTAAAACGTCGAAACACGTCAACAACAGATAGTATCAGGTGAACATAATATCCCATTCGTTTACACTACTATAATGCCATAGGCAAAATTAGGGGGAGAGGTCTTAAAAGGTATTATTAGCACCCACAATTTCAAAATAAGTACCCTCTAATATTTTTCATGTTTATGTTTATAACACCTCTGCTTATAAAAATGTTTAATATAAAAAAAAACAATTTTTTGCAGAGTTGATAACAGTATTTCTCATTTATCAATTTAAGGTGGCTCTCACACTTCCCATTAGTTTTGCATCTTGTGAACATTCGTTTATTGCTTAAAGAAAAATTAAGATTTGGCTTAGGGTTCAATGAGGCAAGAGAGATTTACAGGTTTGTCAATATTATCATTTAAAGAATATTATCTTTTTCACATTTGCAGAACAAGATAGGCGTATAATTTTTGTATAAAATACCTGTAAATTGTAATACTGTATTCATTTTTATTACAAAATTAAAATGATAATAAGCTAAAGTATTAAATCTTAAATTGTTGTACAATATCCTTGCTCCAAAAAACATTAACCACATTAATTGTAATTAAAATTAAATTACTTGGAAAATTCAGAGCTCACCCTAAAGCACCCTAAATTTTTTTATTAAAATTGTGCCTATATAATATTGCATTTTTTCTCTATCGCCTAACCCTATCAAGACGAATGCACACACGAATCACAACACATTACCTAATATCAAATAATCCAATAAAAATGAAATAATTTGAACTTAACCATGTTTTGAAATTTCAATTAGGTACTCGTCTCTAAACGTAATATTTTATGGTTTAAGTACATTTAACAATTTGAGCTCAATGTAGCCTTTTCCTACTTAAACTTTAAACAAGTATTCTTTTTAATTATTAAATAATAGTTTTAGGTGTACCGTTTTACTATAAAACGCATATTCAGTGTCTATTTACACTTTGATCATATCTAGGTAAAACTAAGAAAATAAGAAAAGTCTACAGTTATATTAATTTTACAATACTCATTGGTTTGCAGAAAGTTTAGTTAATTTGGTTTGTTTGAATTTTATTTTATTTTAAACATGTTCAATCTGATTTACCTCGGACTCATTTGCAATGGAAACATAACCCCAAATTCATATTTTATTATTAATATCACCAATAATAGTTTATTGTAACATTATTATAATATTATGACATATAGTATTTTATTATAGTAATAAAATGTACAAAAATTATAATAGTATTTAATAACTAACGAAATAAAAACGACACAAAAACAGGAACAGATACGGACATGCGGGTTTTTGTAGTAAAGTAAGTTTCAGCAAAGCAATTAACATAAAGGCCCATATATTGCTAACTATTTCAGCATTAGAAATACGAATATCACTTTATAATAGCCGTCAGAAAATTATTTTACACGGTCGGTTGATAATTTTTATGGCAGTAAGTTTAACGACAATGGCTTTTCCAAACAATGAAATTTTTGGTTTTGGCCGAAAATTGCTTTGGTGTTTACTCTCGAGGCATATCCGTACGTATAGAATTAATTAATAAACCTATAATATAACGTACAATATAATAATAAGTATAAATATTATTTGTATATAAATTTTAATAATGTAATAATATTTAAACGCGAACTTAACGTTAAGTAATAAAAACTATTATATGACACGATCATAATAATATATTAATTATTATATGTTTATATAAACTATGCTCTTCACTGTAATATAATATACACACGTATGTAAAATATTTCAAATAATTATACATATTATTATGAATTATATCAATATAATACTTATGATACCGTCATTTCTTGTACTAATACACAGCCTTTTTAGTTACTTTGCTATTTATTATATAGAGTATTGTCTTGGCTCGAGCTGCTAATCGATTAATTATTGTAATACATTATATTATATCGTAGTAATAATAATAATAATTTTATTTTATATATTTATATAAATTATTAACATCGACTATTCGGTGAAAAAATGGTCAAGCCAAACCGAAAAGGGCCGTCGATTGCGCGACTGTAACGTAATATAAAATTTAAAAAAAAAACATTTTTACAGAAACTTTATTATAAATGTGAGAGAGAAATTGTTTTAATAGAATAAGAAGGATTATTATGTATTTATGTTTATAATAATAATAATAATAATGTTATATAGAAGGTATTAATTAATCAATAGATAGGTATACACGTAGTTTGTATGTATCAACCGTCCGTATGAAACAAAATTGACATGTTACAACATGTCAGTACTACACGAAATTGTTACAATGCAACAATAATAATTATATCTATTAATCCACAACATATTATAGTAATTATTATATCAATTATATTATTTATTATTATTATGTATTATATCAATTTGTAAGTATACACAGTAAAGACGGTCTATACACTATACGAAATGTGTCACGCGTGCACTGTTTTGCTGATAGATTTGCATACAGTTTGATGTTTCAAAATTGACAAAATGGTGAAGAAAACAAACATTGTATTACGTGACATCGTTTTGGCCGATAAAAACACGTTAAGAAAAAACGCTATTGGCGTTTTGTAACAAAGTAACTGCACTATTGTAATACGTAGTGAGGAACCCTGCAGAAGTCGTCACAATATGTCATTTCTACAAGGTTCCTCACTGTATTCGGCCAACGTCAATACAAATAAGACTCAAGACAAATTCGTTTAATCGTTATGGTATTTCGCTTAGTCGCATAATCTGTATAATAACCACTGTTCTATGTATTATCACACTTAAGTCGTATCACACGTTTGCATTCGATTCGAAAAGAAAACAACTGTCCAAGTCTGGACGTTAGGGGGACGTGGGTTTGGAGCCTGAGGGTGACACCATCCGCTCGCTGTTTGAGGTGATTGGTGACATATTTTCTGGTGTCGTTTGAACGGCGTCGTTCTCACAGGTGTTGCCGCCGTGGCCATCGTCGTCGTCCTGGTGCAGATGTGCATCGTCCTCGATGTCCGTGTCGTCCCTGTACACGCTGGTCTCGGCGGCCGACGGTATGGTGGCCAGAAACCGAACGGTCAACTTGCCGGGTGGCGAACAGCTTCTGCCGCGAGGGGCCACGCCGCCGGCCACGAGCAACTCGGCTGCGGCCAACATGGGATCGTCCAACACGGCCGTCTGTCTGGTGAGCCGCGGCTTTTGCTTGCTGTTTTGGTGATGACCGTAGTGATGGTGTTCGCTACCACCGCCCACGCTGCTCCTCGAAGCTCTGGTGCTCACGCTCGTGCTGGCCGTGTTAGCCGACCCGGAACTGTCGTTTCGCGAACTTGACAAATTCGAGTCCTGTGACGTTTTCCGGGTCACTATCCAAGAACTGGCCCGCCGTTGTTTGGGGTCCAACAACCGGAGGGGCACGCCGCCGCAGTGGTGATGATGATGGTGATGATGATGCTGCCGCCACGAGTCGGACCGGGACGAGCTGAAGTTTTCGCTGGACGACATGGACGAGGCGCGCTTGTGTTGCTTTTGCTGGATCTCGGCTATCTGATAGGCGTACCGGTCGCTGCGCATGTACTGCCGACCGGATTCGGCCTGTCGCCGATTCGCGCACGCCATAAGCCGCCGGAACTTGATCGACACCCAATTGTAGAACGTCTGTTCGGCCTTCACTGACTTGTCGTCGAGCAGCTTGACGTTGCAGCTACACGGTGGGTGCGGGTAGTTGTCCCGAGACGACCTGTCCACAAGACTGTTAGTATTGGCAGGCGTCTGCCGGTTGCTAAAGTTGGAACTGTGCCGGCACCGGCCGATGCCCCTGGTAACCCGGGATTCTTCGATGGCCTTGCATATCATCACGCAGTCCTTCTTGAACTGTTTCGTTAGTATGGCGTACAAAAACGGGTTGCAGCAAGAGTTCAAGGGCAGCACGAACACGGTGAACACTTTGGCCTGTTCAAGAGAGACCAGGTTGTATCCGCCTATGGCGGTGAGCGATACAAACGCTATGGGGGCCCAGCACAACAGGTCGGTAAACACTAACAGCGCCATTCGTTTGGCTATACGCGAGTCGTTCGAGTTCCAAGCCTGCGAGCCCCTGATGGCACAGTACATCTTCAGATAGCAACCCATTAGTATGAAGAACGCTACGCCATTAATGAACATCAGGAACACCACGTACACCAGGCTCCACGTGCTGGTCGTAGTCTCGAACGGCAGACAAGTGGCGTACTTGCGATAATCGGACACGCCGAACAGCGGCATAGCGGCCATCACGCCGGCGAATATCCAACCACACAGCATTATGTACGACGCGTGCTTCAGCGAAAGCCGCTTGTTCAGGTGCATGGCGTGCGTGATGGCGTAGTTGCGTTCCAGCGTGATCACCGCCAACGTATACACGGACAGTTCGGAACTGAGAACAGCCAATACGCCGGCCAATTGACAGCCGACCGACATCTGCCACGGAATGGCGTACGCTTTGAACTCGCCTAACGTACCGGCGTCCACTACGGCCAATATTCCTGTAAATAATCCGTTTCGGTTACAGTCCACAGTTTAAAAACGAACACGTGTAAGGTCAATTTTTCAAAAAATATTCAAAATAATATTATTTAGCCGTAAAACAACAAATAAATGTAATAAAATAATAAGTTATTCGGCAAAATAATAAATACATTTGCTCGAAAAACATGCATGTTAATGTAAAAAAGGCATCCCTGATTTGTTCATTTTTTTTTTAAACTAAAACCTTTTCTAAAATCCAAGATTTACATTTTTAAAACGTCAGTATTATTTATTTAAATTGCGCATAACTTACTGAAAAATTAATTAGGCAGTAATAAAAAAAACAATATTCGTTTTAATTTTTACTTCCGTTTAAAAATATTCCATTTAGTTGTTTTTATTTTAAAAATTAAATCGTGTAGTCTTACAATCATTTTTTTAAATTAAAGATTTGTTTAGTTTGTATTTTTATAAGCTTTTTAACTTTACATTTTGTAAAATTCTTTTATTCAAAATTATTAATTATAGGTACTTTTTATTTTAGTAGCTATTATTATTGGTTGTTCAATTAAATATGTTATTCAACTTATTTTTTTTATTGATTACCAATTATAATTAGAATTATTTAATATATTTGTTGTTGTGTTGCATACCGAATTCTTCAAATAAAATTATTTGAAAATTATCGAATACCAAATGATATATTATTATATTTTACGTATTAAATAATCTTAAAATTTTAATTATTAAAGTTGTACGACTTTTTTATTTTTTTGTTATACACATTTTGTCCAACTCTGGTCTTGGACGACTTTATTTCTTACCTAAGTATAGTCCCATAAAGAAGTCGGCCGCCGCTAAGTTGCAGACGAGGAACCTTGGTACGTCGATTTTACTTCTGGCGAATATTAATACAAATACGACCGTACCGTTGCCCAACATGGCCAACAGGAACACCACCCACACCCCGCATCGAAGCGTCCACCAATCGAACAGATCTTGGCATGGTAAAAACGGTCCTGTAAAAAGAAGTAATACTATTATAACCTATGATGTTTCAAAAGACTACGGTTTTTTAATGTATTCTTGAAACCAATACCGTTTTGATAATTTAGTCTTGGCTGTGTTTTTAAAAAATAAAACAACAGTACAAATCATTTAAAAATAATTTACCGAAAAGAAAAATGTCTACGGGTTAACCAGATCTTGTGTAATATTAATTAAAATGTACGTTATAACAATATTGTAATATTTACCCGGTAGTGGAAGACATTTGATTTTGGACGAAACACCTTCGTTCAACCGACCTTCCAGTTGTTGTTCTTCGAAGTACTCCTCCATGTACGACGGTAAGTTTCCCGGGTACGTGAAGTCCGTACCGAACGTGTCCCACAGGTCGTTGACTTGTGTGCCGAATTTTTTACTTAAATTTTCTGTAGAAAAAACAAATCACCGGGTAATTCATACAGGGCGAAAACCAAATAAATAAATAAAAGATGAGGCTGTATAAACAGTTTACGGGAAGGAGGTTAAGCGGTGTATAATTATTTAAAATTTGAAAAAAAAAACAAGGGAGGCAAAGTGACTTCAGTAACGGCAAATGTCAAACCCAGACGACTGATGGTGCTTAAACAATAGAACAGCTCTGCTGTGGACGTCGACAGTTAAAAAAAAAACCACCCATTTCCCGTAAGAAAACAAATCAGATTATTTTTATTAATGGAAAAAGATAACATAAATAAATGGAAATCCGTGATCCCGCTGAACCGCATTCAGAAGTTTTGAATCGATCAACGAAATGAGAGCAGAATAATTGGGACGAGCAATGAGGGTCCTTGGTAGGCCTTTATTTTCATAGTAATATAACAGTCCTAAAAATGGTAATCCTTCTGAATTATTCTTTTCTTGACGGTTTTAATCGAATATTTCATACGGTGGTATAAAGGCATACACATTGTCATTAGCGTTCGGGTTTGTGTGTTCTTTCTACACCTTAGTACCTCAAAATATCCAGTAAGAAAAATGTAGTTTTTTTTGTCCAATTGGTTTATATTTGTAAACAAATAACAACGCTTTTAATTACGGGAAAATAAAAACGGTAAAGTTTTCCAAACGGCTCGAGCTTTGTCAGTTTCACCAGTGCCTCGTACCGAATTGTAACAAACCTACTGGTTAGATAACGTAACCGTTTCAAAACGATACATGAATAATCCACACAAAGCATTAACTTTTGTTTGTTAGGAGAAGTTGAAAAGTAAAAAAAAAATAACCATAATGGTTTTAGGACGTGTCCTTTAATGTCGGAAGATCCTCACCGATTGTCGTATGAGTATCACGTATGCTCTCCTTTATGTTTGGCCTACCACAAAATAAAAATTAAAGTCTTGACCGTCGACCGTCCCGTGGTGTTATTCAGTATGTTTTAACATTTAAAGTGCATTGACCTAACATATCGCATTAGAGCAACATGTAGAATTTATAGTATTTATATTTTATAGCTACCAAGCAGTTGTCCAATAAGAAAAAAACCTTTTTTACGCTGAAAGCATCATAGGAAACACTGAATCGGTGGCGGTTATCTAATATATATATATATACATTTTTTTAAATATTAAAAATCTAGACATATTTAAATCGTAAAGCATTCGGGTTTGCCCAATTCTACTCGGGAGGTTAATAATGACAGATGTAATAAACTAACGCAGTTGGGGCCATATGTCGGACATGCTGGAGTTCCAGAGAGACATGTCGAAGTCGTTTTCGTTGGCCGGAAAAATGACCGACTCGTGCAGACTTGAGTGACTGCCGCCGGTGACTTGCTCGTCGTCGGTCGGATCTACGGGTAAAAACGAACAGCAATGGTAAGCGTAAGACAACACCAGCGATTGGATTCTCGGGAACTTTTCGGGCGCCGGAAACTGCTTAAGATTTGGGTTGTTGAACGTTTTCAAGTGCAAAAGTCTCTCCAGGCCTTTGGTGGGCAAGTGTTCGAATACGTTTTTGCCCACGTTCCTGTAAACAAAATACAATTCGTTCAAAAGTTATTGTCGTGTGAGCGGTTTCGAGCGATCGTTTTTCATACAAGTCTTCCAGATGGCTAAACGACAAGAACGTCTCTTCGTCGATCCGGTCGATTTTGTTCGATTCCAAATCTCTGAAACAACAAACCGACATCATATTATTTTTGTTTTTATATCATACACCAATGTCGTATCGCCCAACGCCATCTGTCGTCCGCCAGTCGAAATCCAACGGCGGACTAAAGGTCGTATAGCATACTATATTATATTGCGGAGCGGCATCTAGTGGGGCGACTTACAAGACTTTCAGTTGGACTAAACCTTGGAACGCGTCCTGAGGTACCGAAGTGATGTAGTTGTAGCTGAGCAGTAAGTCGTGGAGATGCGTCAGGTTTCGGAACAACGACCCCTCCAGCGAACTGATGTGGTTGTTGGCCAAGTCTCTGGAACATTGCGGGATAAGGCATTAGTAAATAAAAAAAAATATTAGAATAATCAGGTCTTCGACGAAAAGGGTCTGGTCGGGTAAACACTTTTTCAAGACCTCGACAATTATTGTAAGTCAGGTCTATATTTGTATAGAGAAACTAAGGCTTATGTATAGTAAAAAGCCTATCAAACTGATTATTATGATTACTTTTTTGTTTTTATAAAGAAATAGTTTTACAAGTTTTCAAACAATTAACGAGTTGATGTTGTTGATACTTTCATGGAATGTCGAAATACTTCCAAACTTATCGGTAAGCAATACCCGCGTAGAAAAAACTTAACTTTTTGGACACGTTTCAGCATCGGACTTTAAAAATTAATGTTGTCATTTACCGCTAAAAATAATTTGTTTGTTAGTTGTATAAAAAAAATCTTTAGTATTTATTTTGGGAGCTGTAAAAAATATTATTGTGTTTTCCGAAAAACTATAATAGAAATTATAGCGTCTTAAAATTATTTAATGATTGCTTTAGTTTAAAAATTTGAGTAAGTATACAAAAACTATGCTGTAACATATTATTATATATAAAACGATTTACAACGAATAACTTTTTACTCAGTTTATGACTTACTGTGATGTTTTGTTTTTATTGATCTTTATGGCATCAGCGACAATAATGATAATGATCGTTATTATTTGTATACACGTTGCAAATTAAAATTACACTGAACTTTTATTGTTATTATTTCAAACTTTAAAAGATAAAAATGTTTTGTACTTAAATATTATTATACTATACGGGGTTGTAAAAAATTATAATACAATCATAACGGTACTCACAGCAATCTAAGGTCTCTACATTTATTCAGATTCGGTATCCTGGCTAGTCTGTTCCATTTGATATCGCTGGAAAAAAAGGCATTTTTGCGTTTTTAATGGATCTTTATAATATAAAAGTAATCGCATAATAAACGTACAGGCTTTTGAGTTTCGGGCACGTGAAGCACAGGGAGTCGGGTATGGAATAAATACTGGCTCTGTCGATCCTGAGCACTTCGAGCGCCGACGTCCCGTTGAGATTTGGGAATTCCGTGAGGTCCCGAGCTTCGGACAGGACTCTGTAGAAATTAAATACAAGGAATAACAACAATTTTTTTACATAATGTGCATTTTGGTTTTTTAGCCGCCGAGAGCTTACAGTTTTCTTAGTTTCGGCAGTGAAGCAAAAGCGTACGGGTGCACGCCTATTAATGGGTTGCCCTTTAGCTCGAGCAACGCTAATCCCTGAGACCTTTGCAGCACACCGTCGGGTATGTACTTGATGTTGTTGCCGGACAGTGACCTTAAAGACATAAACCATTTTGTTTACAAAATATTTACTGAAACATCAAAATCAAACAACGCATGAAATAACGTTTTAAATGGGACAAAGAACCGTTAAGGGTATAACGCGATAAAGTAAAATACAATTATAACAATACTGTGCTTTTTACAATACTCATGACAGTTTTTCAGTAAATTTTCGAGGGATGCCCGAGGTTAGATGACGAGGAACCTAAATTATTTTTGATTGGAAAATTTCCCACCTGAAACAACAGCTTCTGTGATGTCTGCACTTAATATGCCCTCCTGTTTTTTAGTTTAGCAACAGCGACTCTTTTAAATATGCGAGATATGTTAATAGTTTTTTTTTATGAGTGTCCAGTGGTAGAGGTTACCGTTTGTTTATCTTTTGCGCGCGTGACAGTCGTTTGTATATTGTGTTAACCACAGTGATCCTATTAAATGTATATCCATTAAACGTTTATACCTGATTAATAGTTTTCAACAAATGTTATAGGTGTTATTAAACGATTTAGTAATAAAACGAAAAACTAAGAAATAATAGTAAAACAATAGAGCGAGTTCCAATAAGACAATTTATTACGTCACGTTCGTCAACATAATAATAATATGTATTGTTATTATTATAGTTGTAACAATTTGTTTTAAAAGTATTAAAACCAAAAAACTACGTGGGTTCTGTGCAGCAATAGTCCACTGACATAATGCGGCTGTATACGGTGGGTCTTAAAACGACCGATATTGAGTTGAAAATTTACTCATTAAAAAGAAAATTGTTTTTTTTTTTTAAATATATAAAAAACATACAGTTTCAGCGGAATGTAAATGTTATTGGAATTGGAATACAGTCGCAAGGGACCCATTATGATATACAGTAATCTTGAGCTTACTTTATATAACATCTTATTATAATAATACTATCCTCAAAAGTAACGTCTGAGTAGGTACTTGGAGCAATAAAAGCTCGACGATGCGTTGCAATGGCCATATCACGTGTCGTTGTTTGTTTTACATTTTTCTTTCCATAACACAAATACCCGTCGATACATATCTCCGACAGTTTTTTTTTAAAGATCCCACATTATTTTTAACGATGCAGGACTATACGCATATCAAACAAATCTGTTGACACTTGACACCCTTCGGGCTATATAATAATATGACAGTAGTTGTTTTTCACCGAATTCGTTTCCATTTCAAAATCATTAAACACGCATCATTCAACAGGTAGGTACAACACATAATAATATACAGTTCCAATAATAAGTGGTTCTTTCTTGTTTTTCATGTTTTCCCCGCTAGTCAGTGAAAGAGAAACGTGCTATACTGTGTTCAGCGAATAACATATAAATATGGAATAACAATGACCTTTTTCGTTTAACACTAAATAAAAAATATTAATTTAATTTCGTTTTAAACGAATACTGCGGTAATTGAAAAAGTTGACAAGAACTGTTATACAAAAAATAATTTAAAAAAAAAACCTGCTATGATAACTATGCACTACTATGTAAAACTATAAATTATTTTTTGTTACACATTTAATTTGAATGTCTTTTTTGTTTATAAACGATCGAATAACGGTAGAAATAATTACTCTGTGGACAAGTAGGCACTTGTTCAAGCTAATACTAAAATTGTTAATAATTACATAAGTATTTGTATTAATAAAAGTCATTTTTTTTTTAAATGGAAGACATTCTACACAGTGCATTAGACTTCAATTTTTGATTTCGTTACAGCAAAAAAAAAATAGTAAACGTACAAGAAAATATAATATGCTAAATAATAAATTGTTTTTGTAATAAACTGAATTTCATTTATTGCTGGCTTTTCGTTTTTTTAGTTTGTTTATCTTATATATTAAGCGAGGCTCTTTGATTAGTATTATATGCAGTAAAAGCCAAGTTTGTACTATTTAAGGCATTTTATACGGAGACTGACCTCAATTATTAAAACGTATGTAATTTTTATGAATAAAAAAAACACAAGTAATATAATATTATTTAATAATTTTTTTTTTCTAATTTTTTAATATAATAAAGATAAAGTATAATTTATATAAAGTTTTTTTTAAAGGTGATAAAACTAATTTTATATAAAGTAACATTACTCAATAGATATCCATGTTACTACTAATTTAACTTATGCGGCCGTTAGTTTGTTTAGCAAAAGTTATCAGATTCTATTTAGATGACGAATTATAGATTGAGTTATTATTAACAACACCCAGGAGGAGGGCCGAAGTACCAACAAACAATATACAGAAACAATTTATAGCCTACAAAATAGTTCACAAATTAATTACATTAAATACTAATTATTGTTACTATAACTACGTGTTGAATACCATGGACACGGTTATTGCATTTAATTTAATATATTGGTTTACGCTTATTCTATTTTACAAATTAAGGCTTTTAATTTTATGACTTCGCCAAAATTTCGCCTATTGGACCATTTTTACTAATAATAAATGTCTTTGGTTTTATTTCCCAAACGAGCTACAAGAATAATTATGTTCATTGTACAGCCGAAATAAACGATTGTGCATTTGTCTTAATTATTGTACATTATTTATTTAATAGTATTGACTATGGCGGAAATTACTTTTCATGTCGCGTAGAACACAAATTGGTTTTTGGACACCATGTTGTATTGTCCTGTCGTTTGTGTAGTATATTGAACAAGCGTTAAATCGTTAAATACGATATTTCTGTTTTTTATACAGGCGATCGGGTTAAAAATACAATTTGTCGCAAACAACCAATTTGTGTAAACAATTTTTTGTTATGTATTTCGAATTATTTGCTATAATACTTAGATTTTATAAAAAAAACTTATATTATTACAATACGCAAAACTACTAACAATAATTATTGAAAACTATTTAGTTGGTTCGGGTCATATTTGCGAAAGAATTGTAAATTGTACATTAAAAAAACGAGGTCTTTAAATCCTAATTATTTATTTGGGCTATTCGAGTTATGTCTAATTATACTGGTTAGGGTTAGTCTTAAGTCTAAAGAATTTTCTATACAAATTTCAAATTAATTCGATTGTTTTAAAAAAAAAGTTATAACACGTCACACCGCGCCGTATTGTAAGATGATAAATATGTAACTTTTGTGTGTGTTTTTCTCGAATTTGAAGGAAAAAGTGGTGAACTTTTGGTCCAATAAAGTACCAGTAAAGTTTACATTAAATAAGTTTAGAAAATGTTTAGAAATGTAAGCAAAAGTAGGTACAACAAAATACAAACATTTTGACCACTTTGTTTTAACTGTTACCCAATTTTTCAGTACGTAACTAAAAACAAATATATATTATTCATTTTAATTAAAATTCATATTTTGTGAACGGTTTCAAATTAAAAAATATTCAGTTAGGGAAGAGTTTGTGAGTGAAATCATTTTTTTTAGAAAAACCTGGAGTGCAAAAGACAAATGGTGTATCATTTGGCGTGAGTATAATACTAAATTTGACTTTTAAAACTTAAATTCCTAAACTACCATTAAGAAAATAATTTTTACTTGAATAATTATTATTGCATAAAAAAAAAACTGCATCGTGAAATTTTAAAGACTGTATGACTATATTCAACATATTATATGCGTGTTGGTGTAATATTATATTGGGTGGTTCGGTGTAAGCAAAAACAAAAAATGTGTACTTATACGGTATTACTATGTATTAAAGTAAATATACTCGAATCGCTGCGCTCTGTAAATGCCGCATTTGTAGATGCCTTTTGGAAATGTTGAAAATGACGTACGAAAAAAAAAAACATTTCAAAGAGCTTTTAAAGTAAGTCGGCAATCGTGTCGATAGCTTTTGACGGGTGCGTTTTATGGCATAGGAAAAGAAAATGGTCTGTTACTGTAATATATATATTAAGTATACATTATATGTCGTAAAATGTTGGGTTTTCGTACTGATGTAGCGTTGAATGAAATGCGAGGTCGTTAATCAACCTGTCGATTACGTTTCGCATTACAAATTTTGGTTTTTAAGAAATAAATAATACATAATATATGATATAGTTATATTAGGCCTACATATATCTGTACATAGTTAATAATATACATATACAGTTTGTATGAAGCTGTTTAGACTTACGTACATTCGATTTTTAAAAAAGATTTAACTAAATTAGGAATAAGGAATGAGGAAAGAGTATAAAATATATAAAACAACATATTTTTTAGTGCTATTTTATTGAGCAGGAGTAGGTTTCTTAGTAGCCCGTAAGAAGAATTTAGGAGCATCAATTGTACTCGTTATTCATTATTCAATAATTTCATTTTTTTTTTTTTACTCAACATTAGAGTTGGGCAGGTATAGGGTAAAGGTAGGTATAGGAGGTATAGGGAGGACAACTTGACTGGTAAATGGGTAACGCTGTTACGGAGAATAATATAGAGAAATAAAAAATATATGGAGTTAAAGCATTTGCGAGGGGGGTAAAACGAAGCAGGAAAAAAAGAATGTGTTTATGTAAGACTGTTACGACAAGTGATACAATTTGTACGTTTTACCGACCGGGTGAGGTTACACATTTTCAATCTTCGCGTACAATATACATTTCGAACTTATATATTTAATTGAATTACGGAGGAAGTCGCGTTATAACACGTGTACCACATTGTCCCGTAGGCATAAATGTAGAGACAGTATATTAAAAAAGAAAAAAAGTTTTTTAAACATAAAAATATATTATTTGACTGACGCGTGGTCATGTAATATCTCTTGTGTATTTTTTTCGCGCGCCGTAAATCATCGTCTCTGCACGTCTTTCTTAAAATACATGAAAATATATTATATACATTCTACATATATAACGTTATGTAAAAGCGTGGGGGGACACCTACCTATAACGAATACAGACAGCCAGACGCACAAAAGTATATTATTATTATTAATATTAAGTGTGTTAATAGGTCTTAGACGAAAACATTGTATGTATATAATATTTATCATAAATAAAATCTTACAGTTCCTGTAGAGACGTTAACTTGACTATAGCGGTCGGGATCGTATCCAACTGATTGTCATCGAGTTCACTGAAACAAATTATAAATAATTAGCAATCATGTACCACTTTTTCATATAGGCACATAAATAACAAAATATAGACGGTATTATTAATTGACTCCAAAGTCAAAACATAACAACTGATAGGTTAAATGTGTAGAAGAAAGACTTCGACATAACATCTAATGCCTAGGAGAAAAAGGTGTACTTCATTACAAAAAAAAAAACTATATTGATAAAATATATAGAAAAGCGCCATACTGTAGTTCATTTTCTAAAATAAATTACAGTTAATTATCTGGTTAGAACCGGGTTACTCACTTACCGAGCGATTGCACTCGACCGTTTCTAAAGCTTTTAGTGTATAAGGATTTTCTAAAGCTATTAGTTTCTCTTATAAGGGTGTTTTACACCTTAAAACGTGTAACACAAACACTTTTACTACGCATAATGCGTTTTATTCGCTTCGGTGGTTATAGAATGTAAGGTGCTATAGGTCGCACGACAACAGGATAAACATTGAACAATGGTTTAACCAAAAAATAAGCACGATAGTGAAAGGTATTGACAATATTTTATTAAAAACTATAGTGGTTACTAGTAACTTGGGAACTTAAGACTATCTAGGAACCCGTGACATAGGAAACTTTTGGGTGAACAACAAACACCTATATTGATACGCCATCCTCTTTTTTAGAGTAAATTGCATGGCCAGTTTTTTTTAAATAGGTATTTCCTATAAAAACGTTATTGTTTTAAGACAATAGCTTCACTCAACAATAATTATTAAGCCAAATACTGGATAATAATATAATAAAAACTAATAAGTTATTTGTAGAATTTTTGTTAGACTATGAACAGCGCATGCTATTTGTTTAATATGCTGGTGTAGAAGAACAATTTGTCGTCAGAAAATAGATCAATCAGAACGCCGTTGACCATTTTCACGATCTAATTGGCCAAACCCAGCAATTCTATTGGGTCGTAGTTACACAAAACTTAGCTACTGCATCTTTCTATGGTTTACTGTTTCCTTATGCAAAACAATACGTAGTATTATAAACTTTGATTACGGGTTGTGTGCTGTTTTAAGTCGTCATATTGCATTGTTATCATGGGCATAACTCCTAATAGTTACAGCTCTGGGCAGTTTCATGTTTAACTCTATCTATCAATTTAAAGTACTATAGTAAAGTGTCAGTACTCGAATAAAAATTTTAAAAAATTGTTTTTTAACTGTAGAGTACAGTTATGTGCAGCAGAGTGTATACTGAATTAACATAGATTGAAGGAATATATTAATACACAATACACTAACAAGTATAATAGCCGGGTCAATAAAATATCGTAATTTATTGAATAGGCGGTTATAAATTAAAATAACCCAAAAACGTACAAGTCTAGTATACGTCATACAAAAAAAAGCAATAGATAATAATAACTTATTTCTTAAAAAACCTATTGGCGAAAGTGACTACAATATACAGTTTTATATATTTTTAAACTGTTTTTTATTAATGTTTGTTTAATTTCTTAATAATTTCCACAACAAGATTTCATTAAATTAATAAACTCAACCATTTTAATAAAAAATCATACTATTTCAAAGTAAGTATGTTTTTGTGAATAATATAAAAATAGTTTTAAATATAAATCATTATTTATGATTATTATTACAGGATTATCTTTAAAGAAAATTAAAATATAAACTACATGCTTTTCGACGAAAACAAATTTCTGGCGAAGAAAATAGCCTCTAAAAACAAATCCCATAATAATTTTACAACATGTAATATTATTTTATTTAATAATCAACAATGATATTATATGCAATTTTTATTGACGTTATATAAACAATTTTAGATTAAATAATCAGTTTTCCAAAAAAATGAGAAATTGAGTACATTTTTTAATGAACGTCGGTTGTAAAAAAAAAACATATTAAACGTTGGATTATGTAATATATTTTATAAGATATCATCTGGGATGGTTAGTATAATACTATATATGTATATATTACAACGGCGATACGAATTTAATTCAAATATTCATTTTACAGGCATCAAAATAATTTGCCATAACCGTAGGAAAAATGATAGGTAGGATAGGACTTCTGTGTGTTTTCGCAAAAACAGTAAAACTAAATGAAAATATTCGGATTTTGTCGCGGACTTTTCATGCGATGCTACAGATTAGTGAATGACACGGCGTGTACGGATCAAGGTCGTCGTGCGCGGTCTTTATTACTGTGTTATGACCGAAATATAATCTGGCCGTAAACGCGATTTTATTGCGAAAACGGGCCTAGCGCCGTGTACCATTACATTCGTAGTGCTCAATTGGTTTTCCAGCCCGGCTCACCCTAGTGCGGTTTATGTACGTACCACGATCCTGGTCTCCCCGGGGGGTCTTTGACCCGGACAGCGGCGCTACTAAAAATGACAAACGCCCGTCTCTTAAGGGGTGAAGAATTGTGACGACGTGTGTAGTCGTGTGGCGGCGGGTTAGGGACGAGGGCGCGAAGTATGCGTGAACCCATTGACCCGGTGACGGCTATACGTGGTGTAAACTTTACGCGTGTTTCGCCCCCGAATCTATTATAATAGTTTTGTGTTGTCGTCCATGAAGCCACGAAAAAAAAAAAAAGAAAAAAGTTTACTTGTAAGTCGACAGCTGGAAAATTCAAATGTTATCATGTCGTAGCGATCGAGTTATAAGTGGAACTCTTGAACTGTTATTGAAAACCCCACTATAAGAATCGTTAAAATTACACGTATTCGTCTGAAAATAATTTAAAATTCTGTAACCAATATTGTTTTTATACAACGGACAGGGTGCTCAATAATACAACCTAATATCTAACGCATAACCAAAAACATAATTAGAATTCAGTTTTTCAATAATGGAGTAGAGTAAAAATAATCCATTTCCCAGACGCATCATACACCTACGCAATTGAATAAAATTAAATGAAGAATTAAATCGAATTTTGTCATTGAACTAACATAGCATTGATAGTAATAAACTGGCAACATGTTATTTTTCCAGAATAATTTAACCGATATTATTTTTGGACGGGATCATAATATTTTAACTTAATAACACACGATCCCAATAGTATGTCAGTGACATGAGCTGATACTAAATCAATCAACGCCTATATTCGTTACCTAGAAAAAAATCAAACTCCTTATTAATTTATTTATCTTTCAAACGTATTTTATACAAACAAATCGCTTGAACCAATTTCAATCCTCCCGGTTCTTTGTCAAAACAAAATTTCGAAAAATATATTCGACGCGCTTAATGTTAAAATATAGAATATAAGTTTAGTTAAAAGTACTATAGAGACTATATTATGTCATATAATATTAATATGTTTGATATGTATTCAGATTTCAAAAGTAAAACACAAATATAAAAGTGTTTAAAATCCGTATACGATTTCGAATGCGGCCTTTTTAAAACATATTACCTATCCTGTTGTTGGATCGTTTTCGCCTAATAAGTATTAAACGAAGGGTGAGTTACTGACAAACGTTTTCGTTGATAGGTCAATAAAGTGAATGCTCTACGAAACGAAACCAGCTGTTGCGTTTCCGGTAGGATTTTCACGTAAAACTCGAGGGCAGGGAAATGCTACGTAGCAACACAGTAGAAGGCAAACACGAAATACGAAAGCCAACAAATTATTCTCGGAGCGTTTGATAACGCTAAATCACTACGACCGAACAATATATTACCGGTAAATCAAATTTTGATATTTTGAGAAATTATAGCCTCGTAGACGAAGGATCGAATATTATATTTTGACACTTTTTGTATACATAATTAAATCGAATGAAATAATTTCCGCCAATTGAGTGTACACAAAGTAATGTCCACTGCAGATAAGATTTTGAAAGTTTAAAATTCAACGAACGACCTCATCTCCAATAACTCAATTTACTGGAACGAACGAATGTATATAATGTCGGATGTTATGTGGTGTACATATTAATTGCACTTGAAAACAGAGTTATCCACTTTGGGAGGAAAACAATAAATTTAAGAACGCCGTAAAGTCCACCGACAAAAGACTTTTCCTTTTTATGTGTTATTTTAATCTAGTTATTAATGAATAAACTTTTAATAGAGTTAGGTGAAATGTTTGTACTCACAGAACTCTCAACGACGTTAGGCTCTCAAACGCCGATTCGTCCACGAATCTGATTTGATTTCTTTTAAGTAGCCTAGAACAATAAAATACAGTTTCTTAGTTATAACTTACTATGTATGCAAATTACGTTTCTTCAAGGAAGCCTAAAGGTTCAGATGCACTTTATATTAAAAAATCGTACATAGTCTTAATTCATAAGGGAATGACTGTGAGGGAAAACGTTCATAGTCAATACTTTCAAATTTTCAGTGTGATAATTACAAAGTTTCAGCACTCTAAAAGGCTCAACCCATTATTACCAATGAATTGAATTTTTATTACTACATTTAAATAACAATTTTTTTTGTGAAATCTATACATTTGAAGTCATCGTGAAATAAATTATTTCTCACTCTCACAGCTAATTTTATCAAAATTATCACACTTGCTTTTTTTTTGTTTCACTCATAACTTTAAAATTTTTCGTTTTATAAAAAATTATTATGGAAGTTGTCTGAAATAAAATAGAAAATATAACAAGAACGTAAAGTTAAACATTTTTAAATTTACACCCACTAGCGTTATGTAGATTAAGGGGGCAGTGCTGACGTATACTGGCTGGTTCGAATTCCGCCATGGACGACCTCTCTCAATGGGCAGGGTAACCTGTCTAGGATGAGAGACTGACACCCCTCCCCACCAAGTAACCCAAGTAAGACAGTAACCATACTAAAAGTGACATAATATGTAAAAGAAAATGACTAGGTCAAACTCGAGTTAGGCTGGTCAGTTAATAAAAATTATTAACTCTAATAAGTTACTTTTTACCTATATTTAAGTGCAATTTACAGAGGTATCCAAAATATTGGACAAAAATGACACAGCAGTAGCATTTTTGCATTTACAAGTGTACAAATATCAAATATACGTATAGATTGTAAATAGTATGCTTACAATATGACCAGGTTGGGTAACGATGAAAACGAATCGTTTGCTATATCTACAATAGAATTACTTCCCAAGTTTCTGAAAAAAAAAATAAAACAAAATATTATATTATATACAATTCGTTTATATTTTTTCACTATTTGTAACGAGATGCGGGCGATGAGAGCAGCATAACAATATACATAAAAAAAATATATTTTTCCCCGTTGTTATTAAGCGTTATGCCAACAATAAAATTTACATGTCTCCGGTGCACGCAAAAAAAGACACTGTCGTTGTAAATTCGTTTGACGTTTCAACGATAAAAACAAATCTAGTCAATTCTGTTTCACGGCAGAAAACACGCATAATGCAACTAATTTTCTGTCTTTTGTTTTTCCCTCGTTTGCCGTAAAACGACAATTATTTAAATAATTAAAATATTTTTCCTCGGTGTTGATTTGGCGGAGAACAAACGTCATGGAAAACCGAACGGACGGCGTCGACATTTATTTTTGGACGGTCGCGCGATGACAAGTTTGTGTGCGCTCACTCCGTAAAAGAGTTTTCATAATACTATAATAAATCGTATCCTCCTTTAAACTCGGATACAGAAGGCGGCAAGTGGACGGTCAGGAAGTTTAACATATAAATTGTCGGACGATGCGTCGCATAATTAGGTCGGCTAAACAGGTCACAGGGTGTCCCCGAGGTAACACAACACGTTCCGTCGTTATAGGACACTCGAGGGACGCGCTAATCTTATTATAATAAATGTATTTTATTATAAACCACGATCGAGCACCGTTACGTGTAAACATTAGATGGGTCAGGTTGTCGGTAAAACACGGCCTGTACAACCGACTCCACCGACTAGTATTCTAATTGCAATGTACTAATCGTGCGCCAAAAAACAAGACAAAGCAGCTGTCCTATTGTCAGTGTACTATACAAACAAACCGTCAGCGGCTGACGATCGCAGGTAGTGGTGTACTTAGCGACACTGACACGCGACTAAAATATGTTAATCGACTTAATACCCCGGGACGTGTACTCGATACAAGAATAAAAAAATCCATTAATTACCTGACCTATATCTTTAATCTTACCCAACTTGGTTTCCGAACGCCCGGATCATCAATTATAATTATCCGATATATACTACTGGCTATAAAATATATAACAAGTCGATATGTATATACACAAACCCTGTCGTATGGTAATTAATACAAATTGAATTTTTACTCACGAAGCTTTTACCGATATCTATAGCAAATAAAAAATATATTGCTTTTCGACGCCCACCGAATGCAAAGTGCCTTAATTTTTAATAAAAAAAAAAAAATAAAACATTCTACAACGCGACAAACTCCTGTGCGGAAGTGTTGGCAAGTAGGCTTGGGGTGAAAGGTTTTTTTTTTAACTGTTTATTTTTTATTACCTGTTTTGATATAATAGTTCCAGAGAAGGGCATCGGGACTAATTGGGGAAAATGTTTTGATCGGGCAAAGACGACCAGTATAATATGTATTATTATTTTAGGCATTTCACGACGCCCATAGTGAATGACTAGAAGACACGATGTTGTGCAAACCTTAAGAAATAGAATAGACCATATTATTTTGGTTTGGCATGCATGCCATTAAGTTTTGAGATGGGTCGGAAATATATTATAATTTTGTTTTTTTGTTTTTTGATGTAAGAGCTCAAAAAAATGAGAACAGAATTGATTTGTCCTTGGTCCTACGTTACTACGGCTTCGTCCTTAACCACTTTAACAGCCGTGACATAAAGAAGTATTTTTTTTCATCTCATATTCAACTGAGAAAAGTTACAGCCAAACGTCTACAGCAGCGGTGGCGACGTCAAAATATTACAACGTGTTTTGAGTGTTTAATTGAAATTACTATTAATTTCGTTTGACAACGGAGTTGATAATTAATTTTCAACTAAAGGACGTGGCACGTGTATTCTTTTGTTTTTTTCGTTTCCGCGAAAAAAACTGAGATAAAAATATACAATATTAAAAACAATAACAACAACAACGGTGACGGAGAAAAATCCTAAATAATAAAGTTTTCCCGTCACGCAGCATAGACGCTAGGCCCTAAGGGGATTTTTATAGAGTCGCAAAACATGGCAATCTTATTTGTTTTGTTTTCTACTCTACATGCATATATATTGTATACAGATTACAGCATGTTTTACTTTAAGAATAAAATGTGAGCGAAATTTGAATAGCAATGTGCTGAAATATAATGTATTATGTTTGTATGGATAATAAGTAAATTATTATCCATACGATTTCCATGCGACCAAAATATCAACAGCAACGTAGACTAATTTAATAATACGGACCCGTATTTTTAGCTTCGATGCGGAGTAGCGATGCTATTTTCAAAAGTATTTATTTAACTGTTTATCACTGGATCAACCAGGGTTAATATAGAATACACAATAAAGTGCAGTTGTAATAACTAATTTAAAAGTTAGGTCAACTAAATGTTAGTTATTCAAACTATACATTGCGTTGTGTTCCTATTATAATTAAAAGTTTTTCCGCGTAAACCGGAAAAATTTTAAACCGTCTGTAAAGTTTTCCAAATAAAATACAATTGATCATTTTCACTGACCGTTTTGATTGGGCAACAGTTTTTAAACTATGCGTTCCAATAGTAAAACCTAAGTCTCAAAGCTAATTCTGACCCAGTTGAGCTAATTCTAGTTATGCGAAAAGAATAGCTACTATAGTTGTCGATATGTTTTTAACTGTACCGCAACAGAGATTCAACCGTCAATTCCTCGCTCTTTCAATTACTTCTCCAGCTATCGGTATCGGGCCGATCATTACCGAGTGGTTATAATGCACGCACTTGAAGTCAAACCCATCGACGGTATTGAATTCAAATATACAGCAACAGACTTAATAAATGGTATATATCAGTCATTACGTGTCACTTCCTCCCACTTTTTGTTTATTTTTACAATGCAATATTGTAAAACCAACCTTATTATATAGTTGCCATTCGGTAGACGCAACTAAAATATTTTGTCAATCCAACCTTAATATATATAGTAGATCCAAGTATTTATAGTTAGCTCTTTCAGTTTAGTACTCCTAAATAAAAATGTATTGTGTTTCTATATTAACCATAAATTACGGTTGTCCCACCTATATAGTTTTTTCCGTGTACTGTCGCTTGTTTCAAGCGCTGTAGGTATTTTTCACGGAAGGAAATTCATATAATACATTTTTCTATATAAATTTCCAGGACATATTTTTATACCCGCATTATTCCTTTTATGCATCCTATATGAATTCCTCTTGGCGAACCAGGAAAACCGGTATTGGAATTCTCTTAAAAACTATTATAAAACAAAAACACATCAAAGCAAATGCCTGCACGTGTGCTAATGTGTTCAAATTACATTTTTGATATTACCAAAAATTAACCGACAAAGAAACAAAATTACAGAATTTGCTATTACTACGACACTGAACTATTCAACTAAAATAACTATCGTGGCCTGTAAAGCTGAAATAATCCAACAGGAAACACACGGAAAGCCATAACGGTTTAAAAATATAAAAAATATATGTTTACACCAATACACGTAAACGTCACGTCAAATATCGAGCACGGTGGTTATATCGATTACACCGACATCTACGCGCGGACGCATCGCTATTGCATATTCAAAACGCCTTACCGTAGCAAAGTAATTACAATTACGCGTACCTCATGCCCAAAGAAACCCTCCCCCCCCCACCTATCGCGGGGCAAGCAAACGACATTCGAAGGTAACACATGCGTTGACCCAGAATGATCGTATAGTAATATTATGACGTTATGTATATGGACGGTGAGCACCGAAAATACTCACAATGCTTCTAAGGTGGGGACTAGGCTTAACGCTTGTTTAGGAACTTTTGTGAGTTTGTTGTTTTCCAGCCGGAGATTCCGCAACTGGGACAGCTGGTCGAAGCACCGGTCATCGATTTCAGTCAATTGGTTTTGATCTAATTGCCTGAAAAAAAAAAGCAAACGCACACAACAGGCTATTATTATTTATAACAGTATTAGTGACATATTCATGAGCGTTTTTCGGTTTTGACACGTATATGGGATTATGTTGTGTCGGGAAAACTGTACAACGTCATGCGGAAACGACTTTAAATAAATAAATGCAACAAAATCATTTATGATAACATAAAATATTGCTTTTGGACAACACGCGGTGGTCTCGCAGGACTTTGTGCGATATTTTTAACGACAGAGTGTTGCAAATGTGTTTTTGTTGTTTATTTTTTTTTTTTTTTTTTGGGTGGGGGGTCTACAACTTTCCGACTCGTATACTCCAAAAAAACTAGCAGCCTTTTTGGGGACGACAAGCGCCGTCTCCAGAGAACATTAATGCTGACGCAACACGATAAGGAGAGCTGTTGGTGTACGTATGTATGGTAGGTAATGCGAACGGTTGTCGGATAAGAAACGTCGAGCAACCAAGGAATATAACAGCTACGCGTACAATATAAATACATATACATCTATATATTACAAATACACAGTGTTCTTACAGGGTCGCCAGTTGCCTGCAATGCTGGAATGTTTCGCACGGCGCTCGGACAAGTTGACATTTCTGGAGCGATCTGCGGCAAAAAAAATATACACTCACACTTATATGTACAAAAAATAAAATATATTTATATAAATAAATTATAGAGCGCGTTACTTTTTAGTACTGTCCACACAACTAAATATAAAATATATGGACTATAGATACCTAATATTGTGCGCGGCCCGTCCTTTGAGTAATGGTCTTTGAAGAGCGCGCAATTGTTCTCAACTCCTAGGCCGTAGAATGTTATTTATGAATTTACAAAGAAAACCGTCGCGTGACAGCTAAGTTTCGTTTGGATAGAGGTAAAAAAAAAATTATAATATAAAAAGTTTTTGGAGAGGATCCAATGCTCAGTTAATAATTGCCATCGGAACCCCGCAAAGAGACGTTTTTTCTTCTTTTTTTTTAATCGAATGAAAGGGCTCGGTTGAGTTCATTTCAATAAAAATTGATTCGACAAAAAAAAAATCAATGAACGATTAGAGAAGTTTAATGGACTGTACACTCTAGAATTTATCGATAGAATCTATCGAATTCAACAGACAATTTGTAATGTTAGTTTAAAGGTTTTGGCGGTTCTCCATAAGTCGCCAATAATTATTATAACTGCGTTTAGTCAAAACTTCAGTGAGCTTAAACATAACATTTTTGTGTTTCTCAAAATCTTCTTTCACAATAGTACGCAATAACTAGGTACTAGGCTTTTTCATTTTGTTGTTTCGTAAATCAAATTATAGCAACGGTCTTAAATTTCAATATTTTATTTTTATTTGTCATCAAAATTCGTAATCATTCCATAATAACAATAATTATAGAGTTTATTAATTTTGCAATGTAATATATTAATTAATATGTGTAATTACAATATTGCTAGCGTAGCCTGTACCATAATATTTGACTTGAAATTATCTGTTGAATACAATTTTTTTTTTATCTATATAATACATCTTGTTCTTAAATGCATATTATACTGAATATTTTCTATCATATTAATTAATAAGCATTTATAATTTAATGAACATTTATGGTAACTTACAGCCTTTTTAAGCGGGTGTTGTTTAGGAACGCTTCGGGGTGTATCCATTTGATATGGTTGTCACCTATCACTCTGAAAAACATAACATAAATCCACAAATTAATACGGTGTTATACAAATTATGACCATGAATGGTTTTTGATGCCCTTACAAATATTTTGTCTTTGGTGTCTTTAGCGCTAAAGTTTTGCTTGTACATTAAAATTGATTTTTTATTCAACATCAGGCCATTAAAACAATAATTTTTAATAATTATTTGTTGATAGTTATTATCGGTTATGTTAAGGTTAATTTTAACTAATACAAATACAAAACGCATTTGAAGTCTCATTCGATAATAGGTCGAGTTTCTAAATTAATTTGATTTAGTTTTTAAATTATAATCATATCTGTGAACATTTTCTCACGTCAACAATACAAATATAACATGATTAATTTAACAATCAAGAAACACTAAATCACGAACTAAAAAAAAACACAATTTTGATGTAAGTATGTAACAGTTGTTCCTTTAAGTTTTATTATTGGGTTAGGTTGACACATCGTCGAGCTTCCGGCAAAATGTTTACACAAGTTATCCGGATCCAGTATATAAGTTGTATAAACAAAGAAATAACAAGATAATATTGATTAAATTATCCACCGTAGTCAAAAAGTAAACAACAAATAAGGAACTGTAAGTTAACAACTTATAAAATATATATATTTATATGATATCGTTACAATGTATTTTTTTCTAAAAATTTTGTTTTTAGGCGCAATACTCAACCTTTCAACGTAATGAACAAATGATATCATAAAATGATCGTGCGCTTAAAGGCAAACGCGATAACAAATGAAACAAAACTATTATTTGCGATGAACCAAGTGAACGGTATTTAAAATGTTGTAATTTGTTGTTATAGACCATAACATAATGTGAAATAGAGTGTTTCAGCAGAATCCCGAAACCTTGAAGCTGTATTTTAAATGCTAGACGCCTCCTATTTACACGGTATACCTACACTTAGTTACATATTGTAACCTAAATTAGACGAAAACACTGGTATGTGGAGGAGAAAGTTTAACAAAGAACTAATTGGAGAGACAGGAATGACTCCAATTAAATATTACATAAGAGGCCAGAGAATTCAGTGGTTTGGGCACATTATGCGTGGAAGTGACGATAAAATAATAAAGACAGTACTGTCTTGGAAACCAACGGGTAAGTGACCACGAGGATGTCCGAGGAAATGATGTATGGACGTGGTCGAGGAGGATCTAAAAAGGATAGGAGTAAATGATTGGAGAAATATAATTCATGATCGAGAGAAGTGGCGTGAAGTTGTGATGGCGGCAAAAACTCTTGTAGAGTAGATAAAGCCAGAAGAAGAAGAAGAAAAAGAGTTACATATTTGTACCTGTATACTATATTTATATAACATGTTTGTGGTAAATAGTTTTCTGGGCTGATATCATAAAAATCCTTAGTCAGCTCTGTACTTATAAAAATTACCATCAAAATGTATAAGGTCGTTTCTTTGACTATATACCTACGTTATTTTATGTATGCTGTTTGTACTGAGCAGTAATTACATAATATCAATTCGATTAAAATAGAGGAAATTACCTATTTATTATTTACGAGTTACGACTAAGTCAACAAAAGCGATTAGAAAGTAATTTGAAAAGAAAGCAATTAACTGTAATTGGTGGTACGCCATATTAACAAAGTTCTGCTTATCTCCAAATCTTATTACACACGCTTACCTAAATTTTTTTACGACATAATTGTTTTCTTTGTCTTATCCTATAAAACTATTACAAATTGTTTTTAGTAACAAAAAATTCGAGAAAAAACATTCTAAGAAATGTATTCTTACGGTTTATAAAAATTATCCGGACAATATTATAGTATTGTAAGTTTTTTCCGAATTTTCAAAAAGAACGTCTGGGATTGTTAAAAGATATGCAAGTACAAAACTACTTTATGATTTTAATAAAAAAAATATTCAGAAACATAAGAATTAATAAAATATCGTAAATCTGCTATAAAATATAATATAAAAAGGTAATTAATATGGCTAACAGCTCGGTCAAGTTAGTATTAATGTTTAAATACACTTAGCAAATAAATTATTCCCTTTAAGTTCTAATAAATATTACAAGTTTTTGAAAGGAACATGGGATTATATTTTCAATCAAAACCTTTTAAAACTGATTCCATTCTGTACAGTTTTACTACAGCCAAAATATTGGTGCCGAATTTAAATATAATTCTATTTATAGTAAATAGTTTATAATTATCACACATACAAGTAACTAGATGTGTATAAAATATTAAACGTCAATATATTTTATTAATGAACAACTTATAATTAACTAGCATAGTTAATTGATAGAAAACTAAATGTTAAATTACAATATAACCGCGTACAAAAATCAACAAGTATAACGAGTATTTTAATGGCTTATGAGCTATTTTATTGTTACACTGAAACTATTTGCTGTATAATGCAAAACACCAGTAACAAACAATACAATTTTAAGGTAGAAATATGTTATAAAAATTAACTTTTCGACCACACACAACTGTTATTTTTTATGACGTTTACTTCTTTTTATAATAATTATATTACAGAAATGTTTGATTCTTGTGAATAAAACAAATTAAAAAAAAAAACACGCCAACCAATACAAGCGGGCTTTAAAAAATTAATTTTACCGAGTTATATCGTTATGATTCATTTTGGAAAAGTTTTAAAACCAAATGAAAGATGATAGTTTTTATAAATGTAATAACGACAATATAAAGTTCATAAAGTCAACTGTGTAAAATGTTTATTAGTGTGTTGTGTAGTTGACACGAACACTAAAACTCAACCGTGATCACATTACTGAACTGCAAACTATCATCAACTAATGCGATGACTATCTGAATAATACATGCTACAACTAATAAATATTAAAAAATTAAAAATAATGTGTTATGAACACGAGTGTTGATTTGTCTGTAATGTATTAAACATATGTGTAACCTATTCTGATATCTACTTTTAATTAAAAACTATAAATCGTTGAAAGTATCGGAATTATTAAATATTTATTAGGAATAAATTAAAAACCATTAAGTTTATTCTGTGTCCTTGGCCTCTTTGTATCCCTTACTTCTCATTTACTTTTTTAGTCTATCACCATGTTCTATCTACATTTTATATCTTCGCTCTTTTAGTCTAGCAATAATATCCTTTTACTACCTCATATCCAAAATCAGCTAGATTAAGCATTTTATTTTCTCTACACACAAAACAAAAATTGCCCTATTCATTTCAGTTCTACCTCGTTTTAACTGCTATTGACATACATTTGAAATTACTACTAGGACGTTCTTTTTTATAAGTCATTTTAATTTTGTTTAATCTGTCTAATACAGACCTAATTAATTATATTTCAGCTACATTCACTTGTTTCCAACCGACTTGTTGTCAATAAAAAATAACGATACTTTCAGTACGCTATAGAATTAGGTAATAATGTAAGTACAAATCAAACATTTGCAGTTCTATTAGCCTGTTTAGAATAATTTAAATTTAAATAGAAATATTAATATTTTAACGTGCATGTTTTACGGTTCTGAAGCATGCACTAACTATTGGTTTAACGGTATTGATAATAACTTCGATTTTGACAACAATTCTAGTGTATATGTTGCAGAATACTCTATTACTGACTTATAAATTTAGACGAATTCAAAATTATTGCAAGTAAAAAAATGGCTTCTAAAGTTAAATTTGTTTATGAGTACGCAGCCAATAAAAGTATACATCCAATAGCAGAATTTTCAAAGAGAACTCTCGGCGAGCAATAGCCAAATATTGCTCGAGTCTACTTGCCAAAAAGAAATACTCTAAAAAATAAGTAAACAATTTCATTGCCATTGTTCAGTTTTTGTGTATAAAATATTTATCGGATTATTCATGAGGGTAATATAAATCAATTTAAATAACAATTATACAGTAACTTTCAGCTATATAAAAATAAAATAAAATAAAAAGCAATGTAAATTATATTTGATTGACTTGTATACTATATAAATTATTATTATTTAAGGTTTGATAAATATCAACTCCAATAAAAAATAAAATAATATTTCTGAAACGATTATGCTAGCAGAGTATAGTTTATATATATATATATATATATATATTAGAGTTTTAAAATATTAGGTCATTCATAATAACCTAAATAATATTTCAACTTAATCGCCTAGTTTAACTTAATTTATATAACTTAATTCCACGCATTTAAGTTGTATTACCTATAATTAAGTTATGGAGTTTGTAAGCTATTGTTAAGTACCTACGTAACCACCAAATCATTAGGTTTGGTTAATTATTATGAAATCTGTCAAAATAATCATATACCTAATATTATTTTTACGTGACCTTACTAAACTACTTCGCTAATTTTCCTAATCCTCACTACACTGTTAAACGATTATAATAGCTTTAAAACTAACACACAACAGCCTTCTTTTTCTAGTAAGTCAATTGGTGTTAAAGTTTCGTAACTTAGTCCACAGGGCCATATTTTAAGTATAATAAAATTTAAGTACTTTCACTTTAAGGAAAACAATATAGGATCCATACAACTCTGAAAGCTCTATATAAGTTTATAATATAACTTACCACATAATAATTGAAGATAAATCGATTTTTTTTTTTTAGATTTAGAAATTGGTAAAAAAGTAATGGAGGAGTGAAAGACGTATTTCTCGACGATATATTACATCGGAATGGCTATTGCGCCGACGAACAACCGTTAAGGTCATAATATGGTAAGTGTAGAAGATTCCTCAGCGTACGGTCCGCTTTAAGGGGTTGTCAACGCATGTTCTAAACAGCCGTTTAATCAACCGCAAAGTGTTTTTATCAACACAGCGTGCTCCAAACGTACAAATTCGCTTAGAGGTGAAAGGGCGGTTAAGATAGAACGGCCGGACCGGCGTGACAAATTTTGCGTCGGCAAACGTGACCGGAAAACGTCATCTGCTCTGAACGCAGTTTAGGCGATCGGCAATTTTTCTACATTACCGCATGCCATTTGCTGTATCGAAAACGACCAAGCCGGGGAAGTTTAATTGTGCTAAACTGCTCGTGTGTATGCCCTGTGTGTAAGTGTGTATATGCGGTATTTGCACTAAATGAGCCTAGACCGACTACGCGGTACACGGTTCATTTGACCGGCCAAAGTGGTAGGTGGGCGAAAAGCCGAGTACAAAAGTAGGTACCTACAACAATATACATACACTGCACTGTACCTACGGTGTGTACTGAAAATGACATACACTGTTTGACCGCCAAAAGACGTGTATACCCACACGCGTAAACCTGTGTCCCGTAAACAATATACGTTATTCAGAAAAAAAGGCTTAATTATTCAGTGCTCACAATACAATAATACATACATAATACACAGAAGAACCATTATCAATAATAATATATACAGTAAGTTGAACACATTAATGGTATTATGTCCAGTATACAAATATTGAACAATTTACTGTCTCCTAACCTAACTTAACCGTTTTTTTCTTAAGAGACCGGTCTATTACAGAGTTACTTCTCACAGAATCCTATTCTAACCGAGTCCGGCTGGGTTAGGTTAACTTTATATAATACTGTATACTTTATGTAATGGAATAACACAATAGTATATGGTAAAAGTGGAATGGAAAAAATAGACTATAAGATGAGATCGAGAAAGGCCCTTGTGTTTTATTTAACGAGCCCAAAAAGTCAGAGACCAAGTAGGGTCGGCACGTGTGTAAAGCGGATAACCGACTAAACATCCTTTTAAAGTCATGAAAAAGAAACGAATAACCAACGGTCACGGAATAAGGATTGAACCAAAGAAAATTCAAAAATGTTTGTAGTGAGAAATGAAGGTGTACTAAGTTTGAATGGTGAAGTCTGAAAGACATTAAAGAAGCACCGATGGGCTTAACTAATCTAGAATAATGCAGAAAAAACACAGTATTGTATTATACTCACAAATCTTCCAACAGTGTCAACTGAGCAAACGCTTTTTCGTCTATGTCCGTGATGTTATTGCTGGCCACGTCTCTGAAATCAAAATAATAAATTAGGTTTTACTGCACGTGTATGTAGGACACTCTGTGTTTGCTTAAAATCGCAAATAGAATATTTTTATTGGATAGTGCGCCGGATCATTCGACGATGATATAACTAGTTTCGGGGCAGACGCTGTCGCCGGTTATGTGTGTCTATGCGGGGTACTCAGAAAAGGCGAAGGGGTAGCGGCGAACGAGGGGGCGGGGGAGAGGAGAGGGGTGATAATTCGGCAAAATTCATTCGGAAGCACGAGCGCCATTAAAAGTCTGCTAAAACGGGTCAGGGCGGAAACGTCAATGAACATGGTCGCATTCGGAGTCATAAATCTCCCGGCTAGACGTATAGCTTTTTCAATAGTTAATACACGGAAAGTAATGCACTGCACTAGCCAATACATAGTGTATATTATAAAGTATACTGTACGGTATCTAGGCGACTCAGGGTTTAAAATTTAGAGGTCCCTATTACACGTGTATTAGATTACACGTGAAACCCGTGTAATTAACATACACGTGTATTTATAAATACACGTGTATTAAAAAAAATATATTTTTGTTATTAATTTTAGTTTTACGTTTAATATCACGTCTATTTAATTATTCGAACTCAAACACAAGTATCATTGTGTAAATACGTTAACTCAAATTAAAATTTTTGACAAACAATTTTTTTTTCAAATACACGTGTATGTTAATTACACGGGGTTCGTGTACACGTGTATTTAAATTACACGTATAAAATCACAGGCACTAGTTTAAATACAAATATCAAATAATTTGTAAGCCTTAATTTTCGTGCTCCATTCGTTTTCCCGTCCACGAACAATAGTTATTGCTATTTCTTGTATAATTTAAATGTACGTTTCGTTAGCTTTTGGTAAGTTTATGCTTTACGTAAGTTTGCATTTTTTTTTCGAGCGTTTGTTTTTTGAAATTGCTTTTACCCCAAACACAAAATGTTTGAGTAAAGTGTATAACTGTACTCTGTAGATGACGAAATTAAACTACGGATTTTACAGGCGGTGCCATAAACAAAACAGAATAATTTTTATCTCGCTATAGTAATACCATTATTACATTAAGAACCTATTACGTATTATTATATTGTTGGAATTCGCATCAACTGTTTGTGTGTGTCATAAGCGGTCGGCGTACAGTACAATAAAACGTTTTAACGCGTTTCGGCTGTTTGAAAATGGTCGTTGGAAAAAGTGTGTACGGCACCACAATGGACTGTCAAAACCGTATTCTTGAGGGAATATGTCACAAGACGCCGACATTAGGGCAGGATGAGTCGCGATGGGTGAATAAAATTGTGTTGTTGTCAGTGACACGATCCGCAGTGATCTGCGGTCGAAACAAAACGGAACAAAAAAAAAATCGAATATATTTTTCAACACACAGTTCAATAACCTTGGGATGGATGAAGAAGGCAAGAGAACGGACTCGACGTCAAGTCAACTAAGTCGCTGAGATGAATTATGGGATGGGCTTTCCAAAAAAGAAAAACCAAAAGAAAAGAAGCTATTAATCATCCGAGGATAATCCGCGCGAACTCCAGTACTATAAAAACAACGCGTTATCATTTTTTTTTTGCCTTGGAAACAATAAACGATAATCGACCGATTTTCATGTTATATATTGTCCGCAGTACGCGTTCAGAGACACCACCCAAACGGCTCACTGTGCTGTCGGATTGTCGCACTTTTAGGATGATAAATACCGAGCCGTGCCACTCGAACCAGTCCTCCGGGACTAGGCGACCAAGAGAGTGTGTGGTGGATAAGAGGGACAATAAAAAAAAAGATGTAATATAATATATGAACAAAGAATGGCTGAGGACCGGGAAGGCCAGATCGGAGTGAAAATAAGTTATTGTTCAGCGGTCGGGAGCGTAGAGGACGGCAATTTTTCAGTTTAAGTACAAAACCTGGTTCGGGGCGAGAGTTTTGGCTTACACGAGGTTTAATGTCTCTGTTTCATTCGGTCTATGTCATTAACAACAAAAACAACGGGCCGGTCCATTATTTGTAACTATCAGCGTGTGAATGATTAAGTGCGTGCCACGGCTACTCGGATAGAGACTATCACGCGACAGAGAGACTTGAGGGATAAGGAAAAAGATAATAGCAATAATAATATAAATAATATACATAAAGTGCTATCGGAATGCCAGTGGAAAAAAACCACACCGAATACATTTTGACGATAAATAGCTATAGACATATCTGACGGCGTCATTTTTTGCCCTCCCCTATTTGCGCCCAGCACTCAAGTTAATCGCATTACAACAACGCACTTACAGTAATGACGGTCGACCGACTGCGGTGCACTTGCCTATCTTTTTTCTATACATATACATATATACTAGCTGAATAACCCAGCTTTGCTTGTTTGAAAAAAGTTAGCACGCGTGTTAAATAATGATTTATAAAAATTATGATTAAAACAATTATTATTAGCTATAAATAATAACTCATCTTTTTAAAAATACACGTTTTTACTTACATGAGTAGAATTTGGCAACCTAATTACTTTTTTATAAATTAATGAAGTATAGAATATTACTATTGTTATCATTATAGACTATGTATCACGTGTATCCTCCCTTTGGTAAAAATGGCGAAAAAGCGACGCTATGACATTTAGGGGATTTTGCAACAACGCTGTAGAAAAAAAAACGTAAAATTATTTAAATGCATCGCCGAAAAACCGGAACTTTGAAATACAATGATTGCCCTCCCCTCGTCCTCAGACCAAAAATTCAAAAAAGGCCGACCCTATGATACTCAAAGGGGTATTGGTAAACTTTGTGTAAAAAGAAATCGTGAAAATATTTAAAAGTTTCGTCAGAAAAGTGGAACATTGAAATACAATGTGTGCCCTCTTCTCCCCTACCCTTGGCCAAAAATGGGAAAAAGGGAGACGCTATGACTTCCGGGGGGTATTTGCAACAAATCTGTGAAAAAAATCGTACAATTATCCAAGTGGCTCAACAAAAAACTGGAACAAAAAACACGTCGGTTTTTTTATATATATGTAAATGTAAATGAGAATATTAAGAATATTTGTTAACTCTTCTGCAGAGGTGTATGTCTAGTGATTTCCAGTCGGTCAAATAAATTACCAGCCTCGGAATGTGATAAAATGCCCTAAAGTCAACGGCAACTTCTGGAATAATTTAAACGTTACACGTGACACTCAAGGTTAAATGATATGTTTTACTTTGTTATACAGCCGCGCCGACCGAAAAGGGACAAAAACTGTCGGACCGTACGTGTTGACCGCAAATGGATTCAGCTGACCGTTTAGGAGATGGTATGGTAAGTGCTTAGGCCTATAAATCCGACAAGTCGTTGGCACTTCAAAAAGGGAAATAACATTTGTTCGACCGACGGGGGAATCGCTAAAAACCCCGGGCCGGCCGTTCGTTTCCGATGCTTAAGATAAACAAAACAATTATCGTTTCGACCGCTAATACGGACATTTTGAATGTTTGAAACCAAATAACTCAATCGGTAGGCAGAAAATCGATTCTCAACGGAATACACCCGTCAAAGGGGTTTCGTCGGATTTTTGGAGAATTCTAGGGCGTTTGATTAAGCCAAACCATTTTTCTACAGTGGTCAGTTGGCAGTCTTTCCGGAATTGATCGTTGGCTGGCCAACAGCCGTACAACTGTTCAATTGTAAATACTGATAAACTACACATACGCCCCTTTAATTATTTGGCCGAAATTTAAAATAGTACTCGGGCCAACTGTTTAAATTTACCGAGGGCGTGGAACGAATAATGTTTGGGTATTTCACTCGGTGTGCCGCCGTAAGGCAACCACCAACATGAGCTTTGGTATAAAATAAAATGTTAAGTTCAGCGACCGTTAGTGTATATTTTTATTAGCAATATCGTTATATACAAATAAAAACTTGGAATCATCAACATAATAAAATAATGATTATCGTTTGAAATCACTAGATAAAGTATTTTTTAAATAATACTTAATTTTAAAACACACTGAACGTGTCTATAAAAAGTTATAAGTAGAAATTATAATAAAACCTGTATTAATACTAAAATATAAAATATTATAAGGACCGTAAAAAAGTTTTGAACCTCAGCTCCGTCAACTGCCACCTTTGAAGCAAACCCAAACAATATATCAACGATATATATTTTATGTGTAAATAACATTTTTGGGGTTTTTTGTACTAAACGACCAAGGAACGCGGTCGATAACCCCTTGAACCCGTTTTATCGAATCAGAATTAAATTTTGAAAACTAGTATGCTGTTTCCCTCATTATGGCACATTAAATTTCCGGATAATTACGGGAAGGTGTCGCCGGACGTAGCCTACTTGGGTCATAGTGCGAAAGCGTCGACGGCGACCGGACCCCCAGGAGGGTACCCCAGAAGGTATGTAATGTACATTTAAAATACATCATTTATTATTATATACCACGGCTAGCGGTGGCGGACGGATAATTATTTCTCTAGTACTAGCATAGTATAAAATATATATTACTATAATGAGCAGCAACGGGCATCGGCAAAACGATAATTGATATTTACGATCGGGATTCGCGGTAGCGGTAAATCGTTCTCTACCGCATATATAACAAAACCACGTTAATATTACTTATATTATTATCATCCTCATCATCATCATCATCGTCGTTATCATCGCTTTAGTATCCAGTTGCGCCGCCGAAACTGTCATAAATCTACTAGTGTCGCCCACCACTTGTTCTCGCCGGTAAGCGTTAAATTCAATTAAGGGCGTTTTCCATTAAGACCACACAGCAGTACGTCTTACCCCTCAGAGTTTCGGACGGAGACAATGGAGTTTATCACCATATTATACGTAGATTGTGCACATTATTCTGTAGCCTAGTGCTCACTATCGTGTGTCGTTGTATAATATACACTTTACAGGGAAGATACACAATTAGGTACGTCGTGGAGGATACCACATCGTTGGAAACGGCGTTGG